AACTTTCACACCTGTGCCATTCTGAACTTGTCTCAGTGCAGCCTTCAACTTTTTTAGCAAATGGACATCTCTTGCCCTTTTGCTATTTTTGTCACTAAAAGAAAAAAAAAACAAACATTAAAAATAGAACATATTTCAGTGAATTTCTCATCGTCAATGTCAAAGGCCATATGTTAAAAAAGCTTCCATGACACTGTAGGCTTTAAATCTTACATGGAAAAAATGTTAATGTACAAAGCAAAGAAAGCAGAAGGTATATATACATTATATACATATGCATGTTTGACACACTGACACAAAGTTATTACTTCCATGAACCAAATCTCTGCATATTTGCCACCAGATAACTTGATGACTAAACTAGCACACTCACAGATCTTGAATAATGCATGCATGTCTACACACAGATGCATTATCAGCAGTGTAACCCTTACACACAATATAGCTTACCTCAATGCAAGGTGGAATGGGACATCAACTGTGCTTAAGTTTCCATGTGGATCAAGCAGGTAGCACATAAAATGGTTCTGTTTGACACCCCTGATAGTAACATTGTTCAACCCAAGCATGCCATGTGACTGGTATAAAAGCTGACACCATTTGCTGACACTAAATGCAGCCACTCTAGGGCCCTGTTCTGCTGTCCATACCTAGAAACAATCATGCGTTTATCTGACAAAATGTTTTCATGGATTTAAGGTAACTTTTCTGGGAACTCAAGATAAAACTGTACTCCTTATTTTCCACTGATTTTAAAACCATAAGGAAATCTTTCAAAAGGCGGGAAACTCCCATGGCATTCCTAACCTTGTAATAAGGTGTATTTTGTGTCTACAACTGTACACTTTATGTACTAAAACAATTGTAGACAAACTGTAGACCAGATACTTTCATTTCACGATGTTTTTCTTTGATCAGGCAAACAACAAAAGAAGGCAAATCTCCCCCCCCCACCCCAATTAAGATTGTCTGTGTAATTCACAAGAAGTTGCTTCACACTCTTCTGTATATATGCTGCATCTCCATCTGTTCTCCTTCATAAAAACACCATTTACCTCCAAGAGGCCCCTCCTGGGTGCATATATCACCAGGAATAACGCCAGTCGGGAGCTCTGCTCATGTGGATCCTCTTTCACCTGGACCCAGCCTACCTGAGCATCACGATAACCTGAAATATGACAGACATTCACAACCTTTAAAGAACATGTACCTATTATTTCTCTCCAAAGATCTAAATCTGACCAAATCTGACTCTATTCTGATTTCATTCAACATACCCCAGGCCAGTTAATAAAGTCGTAATGAGTTAATAATTTCTCATCACTTTTTGTTCACTTTATCCATTCTAAATACCCAATTGCAGAAATAAGCAAACGGCACACTATGACTGTCATTAGGTATTGCTATATTTGGGAAAACCAACCCTTCTGTTACCCAGAGCTGTTATTTCTTACATTGTAAATAAAAAAAATTTAATAAATTTTTAAAAAACTGACCTTTCCACATCCTGACAGCTCTTCCTTTCAAGATATCAACTAACAAAACTCTTCCATAACTGTCTGTGACAGCAGCCAGGTTGTTGTTTGGAGAGAGTACAATGCTCTCTCCCTGTCTGTGCTTGTCTGGCAGACCACTCCTACAAACATCAGGATATTGTTGTAAAGATGTTATAATAAGTCATCAATACAAAACTCTTTCAGTAATCTTACAAATACAAATTTCTGTGACAGCATAGAGGTATCACTGAAAATTTCCTAAAAATTAAACATAAAATATATAAATGTATAGTATATATTATCTTCTTTTATTTAAGAAAATGGAATATGTTAGGCTAAAATCCATGTCGCATTAATATTCAGTTTTTTCGTTGAGTCAAATGGAATTCCAACCATATAAATCCATATGTATATAAATATATATCAAAAATTAAACATTAAATACATAAATGTATAGTACATATTATTCTCTTTTATTTAAGAAAATGGAATATGTTAGGCTAAAATCCATGTCGCATTAATATTCAGTTTTTTCATTGAGTCAAATAGAATTCCAACCATATAGGTCCATATCTATCTATCTATCTATCTATCTATCAAATTTATAGATAACAGCTTTTGATAAATAAATTTCAATTCAACAGTGCCTTATAAACAAGGGCGTGGCTGGTTCTACTTTTGGCTTGTGTCTTTCTTTGTTTTCTTCAGTGTTATGCTTGATACCAAACCAACCACTGGAAAAAATAAAAATTGTTATTATTGTAACCCATAAAATGTTACTTTCAGGTAAATGAAAAGAAAGGAGTTTTACTCTGCTATGTCAAGGCAGTCTTTATGAGAAATACACAATATATGTAGCAGAATAATGGAACCAAATCCCATTGTCTTTTCAATACATATTATTTCTAAACACTTGTCATGTAATCGATTCAAACCAATGTCTATTAAGCAAACTATTTTGCCTGTTGATTTTCAAAAAAATTTCATGTTATCGATAAACAAGCACAATCACAGCTAACAAACTGTACTAAAAGAGACTTACTTTGGTGCCTGAAATTAGCTTTACCAAAATCCCAAATGATTCCCTTACCATACATCATATAGTATAGCAAAAGCAATCTGGTGGTAATCCAAAATTATTTTCCCTTGTCTAATTTAGATCTGTTGCGATGAGGCCTGAAAGTTACACCTTACCTTGCAGCACTAAGGAAGGCAGACTTGAGTTTATGTGCTACTGCATATGCCACATCTGATAAAAGTGGCTGAGCTGAGCCCTAAAAAATTGACAAATCACTATTGGGTAACACAATTCCTGCAACAATTTGAGAACAGCAAATAAAACACATCCATTATAAGAAAAACAGCTGAACAAGAACTTCATATTGGACTTTGCTTTAGGTCTTATTTCCTCTCAGTGTGTAGTATTCTTCTGCCCAGGACTCTGCTTCATTAGTTTAATAAAGACAGAACTACCAATAAATGCAAGTCCAACATAGCAGACTTTACAGTTTACAAATTTACAGAAAGACATATTTACCTCCATAGCATGAAAGAAGCCCACAAAGGGCCCAGATCCTGTGGTGGTGTATATGGCAGCTGCAGGGGGAGTGGGTTTGATGGTGGCACTATACCCACCCCACAGAGAGGCTGTCTCCAACTGGTCAAAGGCACAGGGGGTCACAACACCTAAAACAAGGAGTCTTACTTGGACATACTGTTGAAATGCTGTATTCTAAAGTGTAACGTCAATGCAGATGTACCCACTTAATTTGAAATCTAAAGATTGATTATACAATCAAACAAGATAATGAATTCTTATGAAGGTAAGATTTTCTATTCATCTGAGAAAAATTGTCATTAAAGAAAATTGACATACCAAACTCCAAGCCCTTTTGCCTACACCCCCCCCCCCCCCACACAACAGCAAATATTGAGCATGAAATATATCTTTTCAAAATATAACATTTAACTTCATTTTAATGTACTAACCACAGCTCACATGTCCTGTGACAGCATCCTGCTCTTGCAGGCCCCACTTCTTGTAAGCCAGAGGAGGAGGAGTGATGGTGTCACTACCACTGGCTGCAGCTGATATTTAGAATGAGTTAAATTATGAAAAATATTTGGGAAAAAAAGAAAAATACTTATTAAAATTCACTTCAATAAATTGGAGCAACTCATTTGAGTTCCACTGGTTAAAATATGCCTAGCTGTAGAAATTTAACAATGTTCTTAATATGAGTAACCCATTAATACATAGGTGAATATGGAAAATCCTTATCTGTCATCTAAGGAAAGGGCCACCAAATAAAAATAATACCATAGAACTCTAAAATATCTCATATCTTAAAACACACCAAACATTTGATACCTCTAGCAACTTGGTTCCTGCATGCTCTCAAAGTCTGGAACAGACTGAAGCCATCTATTGTCACCAGAGACTTAGGATACAGAATGGTCAATTCTTCATGCTATAAAAGAGATCATTGTAGTTCTCCTTAATAGTGGTGTTCGAGAAGTATAAAGGTTAAAGAAAAAGCATTAGCAGTTTTAAAGTAAGTTGATACATAAAATCTAATCATACATAGAAATTAATTTGATAGAGTAGAAGGATAGGAAGGGTTTGCAAATCAATAGTTTTTTTTTTTTTTTTTTTTTTCCCTAGGTGCTAATATATTCTAAAACTGTTCTAAATATAAGTGTTTACATTATTTGTACCTGTTCTGATGCTGCAGCATGTCTTGGTGGTTCATATGTTTTACATTTAAATTCCTGCACCATCTTTTCATGAAGCAGTTGTGACAACAAAAGCACTCCAGTCTACAAAAAAGAGAACAATTGCATTACTCATTTAGGAACTTTTGTTATCACAGAATATTCTTCCACTCAAAGAAATCACAAAATGACTTCACATAAATAAATCAGTTAAAATATTCAAGAATTTAAGCAGCACCCATAAAATCTTTAATATTCACATTTAGTATATATATAGCTACTATATGAAACAATGTCTTGAAAATAAAACTTGCAAATAAACTCCCAAGCTATAACATATATATTTTATTAAATCACATCATCTTTAAAATGCATAGAGAAAGGTATAATTAGATAGCTTTTTTTTAAAAGATATTTTGTTTAGAAATTTCATCAATCTTTTAAACAAATCTTACTCAAAACAACATTGGTTGTTATTTGTGAGTGGTGTTGGGTTTGGTGTCCACTGTGTTTCATACCTCAGTATAAAACCTCACATAACCAGAGGTAAAGCCCACTATTACACATGTCCAGTCAGGTCCACCCTGGGTTGATCTGAATAAAGTATATAGCCAAATATCAGTGAAATTCTAACGTCATTCCTAGCAATTTTCAGACCATATCACACCACAGAAGAATCATAACTACCGACTATAGCAGTGAAATGAGTATGTTTTATCTCAGTAATGTATAACTGTTCAAAAGAACTGTAAGTGCTGGATAATCTTTTACCTGATAATTTTTGGTATAAAGACAAAGATAATACATGTATAGAATAACCATTATTCTAATATTTCTGAGCATTTACCTTTTTTGAGAAGCCAATGGCAGGCACAACAAGCTGGAAATCTTTTCTCTGTTAAAAACAAAATAAGGGTATTAAGGTTGCCATAAAATTGTCTCCATAAATTAGAATGTATTATCAAATATGATTTAGCAGAACACATGTTAATCATGTTACAAAAACATTTTAATTTCCTATCAGCGCATAATGCATTATGCTTCAAAAAAGTTTTAGACAAAAATGTCCAATTTAACAATCTACTCCATCTTCAGCTTTTCTCCTAAATGATTGTTGCATCCCTAGTAAAAAGAAACTAAAGAATAAATAGTATTAAGACACCAAGGAGAAAAAACAAATGTTTACCCTTCTTCTTGCTTCACCACTCCTTGCCATGATATACAAAATTTTGTCTCCATTTCCCCTTCATCTGGTGTATATTTCTCTGCAAATGGTAATAAAACAATATCAATTGAACATATCCCAATGTGTGTATGCCTGAGAACAATTAATTCATTAATTAAATCAATAAATTACTGTAATAGATAAAGGAAATTGGGCTTAGAAAAAATTTGTTCATTTCTAAAGATGTAAAAATCTTTATTTGTACCAATAAAACTTGAAGTTAGGTTTAATGCAAAACTGCACATGTGGAATATTGTGCAGGTATAGCAAAAGATGGATAAACCACAAAATTGTGTTGCAAATTACGTACGACTCAGAATGACAAGTTTTTCATCATAGCCAATAGCTAGCAAGTCATTAGCTGGGGACAGTGATATCTTGCAGTCCTGCAGCCAAACATGTCCCTCCCCAGGTGAACCTGTGCTATCTTCTGAACCTTCCTCCTCTTCTTTCTCTTCGTCTTCAACCTTCCAGCCCCAGTCATTCCAATCCCCTAAAATTTAGACAAGTTATATCATTGCAGGAACTTTCTATGGGGCTTTAATGAGTGTTTTTCAATTATGTCAGTGGAAAAAATTAAAACTGATAATTAACTGCATGATTTTCAGGGACTTGAGTCAATGACTTGCCTCAGGTCTTGGGCTTTCTCCAGGGAGCACAAATCTTACAATAAACCGGTCTTATTTTGGCTATAATAACTGCCTTCTTCATTAAAATTTACTTAAAAAACTTACCTTCACTATCTTCTTGATTTTCATCCGTATCAACTGTCAAGGGGAACAAGAACTTTTTCACATTTCCGAGATCTTCAACACAGCAAGCAGTGCCAAGCTGGATGGACATTTTTGTTTTCTTTCTCTCAAGATACACCCAGCATTTAGTTATAAAGTTTCCGGTTGATTTTAAATCAATAATTCATGTAACGATTTCGATATTTTTATATTAATTTACGTGAGACATGTACATTTATGTTTCTGAAAATGCTTCAAGAGCAAATACTGTCGATGTATCTTTAAAATATTATTATGTTAAAGCCTACCTTGAATGCACTTATGCTATCATCGGAGTACATATTTATCCTTTTTCATTAGAGCGCATTTGTGAAAAGCCAGGCTGGTGAAAATCTATTTTTAAATGATGGATATAACTGGAACCAGCAATGAACAGTAAATGAAATGCAGCAGACAGCGACATTAGATGATCTTGATATTAATCCGAGAATAATTAAAGCTCTGAAGAGAGGTATGACAGAACTGTATCTGCTTTGTTAGTAAGCCCTACAATTTCTAAGCTAGGGGTCACCCATTTTATCATCTTTTTCTCAAGTCTACACTTTTTCAGACCCCTCCCCCTTTCAGAGAGCACAAAGTGAAAAGTTAAAAATGTTGACTTTTGACAGCAATTTGGATTTTCACTGTGTGTTACCCCCCCCCCCCCCTTTGGCGCATGATTCGTAGACTTATTGAAATGATTATATTATAAATGGATGACCCCTTGCAGAGATTGTTCAATGTTTGATGAAAAAAATCAGGGGTCACTTGTACTTTTATCTTACAAAGTGACAAACTTGAAATTTAGTGTACAGATAGCCATATGTGAGTGTGAATAAACTGTTTGAATTTTAAAGTTTTATCATTTACGTAGATAAAACAATACTCGTGTTTTTTCAGTGACACCATGTACTGTATGATGTCATATTCACAAGAGTTAAAAGTTGCCCAAACTGATTCTCATCCCTTTCACATTTTTACAGACACTTCATTTTTGCCACACAATAATCATATATGCATGTAGGACTGGTCATGAACACGCAATTAAAATTTTGGTTCTAAGATTTTCCCAAACAGAAATGTGCCTGTTAAATGGACAAAGAAAAAACCTAAAAACAACAAAAAGCGACTTTTGAATTTGCCAAAAAGTATGAAAATCAGTTAAGCACCTTTTAACAAACTTGATAAAATTGCCATACAACACCATATAGATCATACAATAAGCTGCTCTGTGGTATATAGATGGGTGTGTAGATTATATGAAGAGTAGATAATGAACAAACATTCATGTTATTTACATTTTATTCAAGCAAAACTATTGGATTTTGGTCAAATTTTGAGTCTCTCTGCACCAGACTTGGAACGGAACACTACACTTTCAATGAGAGATGTCCATATGGTACACAGGGAAGTCGCCAAAGCTGTGAAAAAACCAGCTGTTATATCAGGTTTGTACAGATGTATCTAGTATACATGTATTTTTCAAAACATTCTGAAAGCAAATTTGTGTGTTTCTCATTATAAGTTTAACCAAGCATTCAAAAATATGTTCACTATTTGTCACAATTTATATATTAGTTTATATTTTTCTCCAAAAACCAGAGTTGAGGTTAAATGAATAGTATGTATAAATGCAAATTATACCATTTGTGTGAGTGAATGGCTGTTAAGAATTACAGTGCATATAAAGGATTTAACAGTCCTAGATACTTATATGTGTTTGAAATTTAACCTTCATAGCTAATAATAATAATAATAATAATAATAATAATAATAATAATNACTGCATCTCCATCTGTTCTCCTTCATAAAAACACCATTTACCTCCAAGAGGCCCCTCCTGGGTGCATATATCACCAGGAATAATGCCAGTCTGGAGCTCTGCTCATGTGGATCCTCTTTCACCTGGACCCAGCCTACCTGAGCATCACGATAACCTGAAATATGACAGACATTTAAAGAACACGTACCTATTATTTCTCTTCAAAGACCTAAATCTGACCAAAGCTGATTCTATTCTGATTTCATTTAGCATACCCAAGGCCAGTTAATAAAGTCGTAATGAGTTAATAATTTCTCATCACTTTTTGTTCACTTTATCCATTCTAAATACCCAATTGCAGAAATAAGCAAATGGCACACTATGACTGTCATTAGGTATTGCTATATTTGGGAAAACCAACCCTTCTGTTACCCAGAGCTGTTATTTCTTACATTGTAAATAAAAAAAATTTAATAAATTTTTAAAAAACTGACCTTTCCACATCCTGACAGCTCTTCCTTTCAAGATATCAACTAACAAAACTCTTCCATAACTGTCTGTGACAGCAGCCAGGTTGTTGTTTGGAGAGAGTACAATGCTCTCTCCCTGTCTGTGCTTGTCTGGCAGACCACTCCTACAAACATCAGGATATTGTTGTAAAGATGTTATAATAAGTCATCAATACAAAACTCTTTCAGTAATCTTACAAATACAAATTTCTGTGACAGCATAGAGGTATCACTGAAAATTTCCTAAAAATTAAACATAAAATATATAAATGTATAGTATATATTATTCTCTTTTATTTAAGAAAATGGAATATGTTAGGCTAAAATCCATGTCGCATTAATATTCAGTTTTTTCATTGAGTCAAATAGAATTCCAACCATATAGGTCCATATCTATCTATCTATCTATCTATCTATCTATCAATCAAATTTATAGATAACAGCTTTTGATAAATAAATTTCAATTCAACAGTGCCTTATAAACAAGGGCGTGGCTGGTTCTACTTTTGGCTTGTGTCTTTCTTTGTTTTCTTCAGTGTTATGCTTGATACCAAACCAACCACTGGAAAAAATAAAAATTGTTATTATTGTAACCCATAAAATGTTACTTTCAGGTAAATGAAAAGAAAGGAGTTTTACTCTGCTATGTCAAGGCAGTCTTAAGGAGTTTTACTCTGCTATGTCAAGGCAGTCTTTATGAGAAATACACAATATATGTAGCAGAATAATGGAACCAAATCCCATTGTCTTTTCAATACATATTATTTCTAAACACTTGTCATGTAATCGATTCAAACCAATGTCTATTAAGCAAACTATTTTGCCTGTTGATTTTCAAAAAAATTTCATGTTATCGATAAACAAGCACAATCACAGCTAACAAACTGTACTAAAAGAGACTTACTTTGGTACCTGAAATTAGCTTTACCAAAATCCCAAATGATTCCCTTACCATACATCATATAGTATAGCAAAAGCAATCTGGTGGTAATCCAAAATTATTTTCCCTTGTCTAATTTAGATCTGTTGCGATGAGGCCTGAAAGTTACACCTTACCTTGCAGCACTAAGGAAGGCAGACTTGAGTTTATGTGCTACTGCATACGCCACATCTGATAAAAGTGGCTGAGCTGAGCCCTAAAAAATTGACAAATCACTCTTAGGTAACACAATTCCTGCAACAATTTGAGAACAGCAAATAAAACACATCCATTATAAGAAAAACAGCTGAACAAGAACTTCATATTGGACTTTGCCTTAGGTCTTATTTCCTCTCAGTGTGTAGTATTCTTCCACCCAGGACTGTGCTTAATTAGTTTAATAAAGACAGAACTACCAATAAATGCAAGTCCAACATAGCAGTCTTTACAGTTTACAAATTTACAGAAAGACATATTTACCTCCATAGCATGAAAGAAGCCCACAAAGGGCCCAGATCCTGTGGTAGTGTATATGGCAGCAGCAGGGGGAGTGGGTTTGATGGTGGCACTATACCCACCCCACAGAGAGGCTGTCTCCAACTGGTCAAAGGCACAGGGGGTCACAACACCTAAAACAAGGAGTCTTACTTGGACATACTGTTGAAATGCTGTATTTTAAAGTGTAATGTCAATGCAGATGTACCCACTTAATTTGAAATCTAAAGATTGATTGTACAATTAAACAAGATAAGGAAATCTTATGAAGGTAATCTGTTCTATATATCTGAGAAAAATTATGCCATAACGTAGATTAAATAAAATTGCCATACCAAGCTGTGCCCTTTTGCCTATCCCCAAAACGGCAGATGTTTAGCATGAAAGAAATATTTCAAAATACAAAATTTAACTTCTTTTTAATGTACTAACCACAGCTCACATGTCCTGTGACAGCATCCTGCTCTTGCAGGCCCCACTTCTTGTAAGCCAGGGGAGGAGGAGTGATGGTGTCACTACCACTGGCTGCAGCTGATATATAGAATAAATGAGTTCAATTATGAGAAATATTTGGGGAAAAAAAAGAAAAATACTTATTAAAATTCACTTCAATAAATTGCAGCAACTCATTTGAGTTCCACTGGTTAAAATATGCCTAGCTATAGCAATTTAACAATGTTCTTAATATGAGTAACCCATTAATACATAGGTGAATATGGCACATCCTTCTCTGTCATCTAAGAAAAGGGCCATCAAATAAAAATAATACCATAGAACTCTAAAATATCTCATATCTTAAAACACACCAAACATGTGATACCTCTAGCAACTTGGTTCCTGCATGCTCTCAAAGTCTGGAACAGACTGAAGCCATCTATTGTCACCAGAGACTTAGGATACAGAATGGTCAATTCTTCATGCTATAAAAGAGATCATTGTAGTTCTTCTTAATAGTGGTGTTTGAGTATAAAGGTATAAGTATAAAGGTTAAAGAAAAAGCATTAGCAGTTTTAAAGTAAGTTGATACATAAAATCTAATCATACATAGAAATTAATTTGATAGAGTAGAAGAATAGGAAGGGTTTGCGAATCAATAGTTTTTTTTTTTGCTTAAGGTGCTAATTATTCTAAAACTGTTCCAAATATAAGTGTTCACATTATTTGTACCTGTTCTGATGCTGCAGCATGTCTTGGTGGTTCATATGTTTTACATTTAAATTCCTGCACCATCTTTTCATGAAGCAGTTGTGACAACAAAAGCACTCCAGTCTACAAAAATGAGAACAATTGCATTACTCATTTAGGAACTTTTGTTATCACAGAATATTCTTCCACTCAAAGAAATCACAAAATGACACAAAATGTCACAAAATGACTTCACATAAATAAATCAGCTAAAATATTCAAGAATTTAAGAGGCACCCATAAAATCTTTAATATTCACATTTAGTATAAACAGCTACTATATGAAACAATGTCTCGAAAATAAAACTTGCAAATAAACTCCAAGCTATAACATATATATTTTATTAAATCACATCATCTTTAGAATGCATAGAGAAAGGTATAATGAGATAACATTTATTTTGTAAGATATTTTGTTTAGAAATTTCATCAATCTTTTAAACAACATCTTACTCAAAATAACATTGGTTGTTATTTGTGAGTGGTGTTGGATTTGGTGTCCAGTGTTTCATACCTCAGTATAAAACCTCACATAACCAGAGGAAAAGCCCACTATTACACATGTCCAGTCAGGTCCACCCTGGGTTGATCTGAATAAAATATATAGCCAAATATCAGTGAAATTCTAACATCATTCCTAGCAATTTTCAGACCATATCACACCACAGAAGAATCATAACTACCGACTATAGCAGTGAAATGAGTATATTTTTATCTCAGTAATGTATAACTGTTCAAAAGAACTGTAAGTGCTGGATAATCTTTTACCTGATAATTTTTGGTATAAAGACAAAGATAATACATGTATAGAATAACCATTATTCTAATATTTCTGTTACTTCTGAGCATTTACCTTTTTTGAGAAGCCAATGGCAGGCACAACAAGCTGGTAATCTTTTCTCTGTTAAAAACAAAATAAGGGTATTAAGGTTGCCATAAAATTGTCTCCATAAATTAGAATGTATTATCAAATATGATTTAGCAGAACACATGTTAATCATGTTACAAAAACATTTTCATTTCCTATCAGCGCATTATGCATTATGCTTCAAAAAAGTTTTAGACAAAAATGTCCAATTTAACAATCTACCCCATCTTCATCTTTTCTCCTAAATTGTTGCATCCCTAGTAAAAAGAAACTAAAGAATAAACAGTATTAAGACACCAAGGAGAAAAAACAAATGTTTACCCTTCTTCTTGCTTCACCACTCCTTGCCATGATATACAAAATTTTGTCTCCATTTCCCCTTCATCTGGTGTATATTTCTCTGCAAATGGTAATAAAACAATATCAATTGAACATATCCCAATGTGTGTATGCCTGAGAACAATTAATTCATTAATTAAATCTATAAATTACTGTAATAGATAAAGGAAATTGGGCTTAGAAAAAATTTGTTCATTTCTAAAGATGTAAAAATCTTTATTTGTACCAATAAAACTTGAAGTTAGGTTTAATGCAAAACTGCACATGTGGAATATTGTGCAGGTATAGCAAAAGATGAATAAACCACAAAATTGTGTTGCAAATTACTTACGACTCAGAATGACAAGTTTTTCATCATAGCCAATAGCTAGCAAGTCATTAGCTGGGGACAGTGATATCTTGCAGTCCTGCAGCCAAACATGTCCCTCCCCAGGTGAACCTGTGCTATCTTCTGAACCTTCCTCCTCTTCTTTCTCTTCGTCTTCAACCTTCCAGCCCCAGTCATTCCAGTCCCCTAAAATTTAGACAAGTTATATCATTGCAGGAACTTTCTATGGGGCTTTAATGAGTGTTTTTCAATAAGTCAGTAGAAAAAATTAAAACTGATAATTAACTGCATGATTTTCAGGGACTTGACTTGCCTCAGGTCTCGGGCTTTCTCCAGGGAGCACAAATCTTACAATAACCCGGTCTTATTTTGGCTATAATAACTGCCTTCTTCATTAAAATTTACTTTAAAAACTTACCTTCACTATCTTCTTGATTTTCATCCGTATCAACTGTCAGGGGGAACAAGAACTTTTTCACATTTCCGAGATCTTCAACACAGCAAGCAGTGCCAAGTTGGATGGACATTTTTGTTTTCTTTCTCTCAAGATACGCCCAGCATTTAGTTATAAAGTTTCCGGTTGATTTTAAATTAATAATTCACATAACCATTTCGATATTTTTATATTAATTTACGTAAAACATGTACATTTATGTTTCTGAAAATGCTTCAAGAGCAAATACTGTCGATGTATCTTTAAAATATTATTATGTTAAAGCCTACCTTGAATGCACTTATGCTATCATCGGAGTACATATTTATCCTTTTTCACTAGAGCGCATTTGTGAAAAGCCAGGCTGGTGAAAATCTATTTTTAAATGATGGATATAACTGGAACCAGCAATGAACAGTAAATGAAATGCAGCAGACAGCGACATTAGATGATCTTGATATCAATCCGAGAATAATTAAAGCTCTGAAGAGAGGTATGACAGAACTGTATCTGCTTTATTAGTAAGCCCTACAATTATCAAGCTAGGGGTCACCCATTTTTTCATCTTTTTCTCAAGTGTACACTTTTTCAGACCCCTCCCCCTTTCAGAGAGCACAAAGTGAAAAGTTAAAAATGTTGACTTTTGACAGTAATTTGGATTTTCACTGTGCATTACCCCCCCCCCCC